ATTCGAAAACCATTCAGTGTATTTCATTGAAACTTGGCAAAGCTATCAGGCACATACTGAAGTGGTGCCTTTTGATATTTTGGGACTTTTCTAATTTTATTTTTTTTTATTTTTATGGAATGAAGTTGGACATAGACTCAAATTGGGATGAGGTTCGTTTCTGGGGCAGAATTCGAAAACCATTCAGTGTATTTGATCGAAACTTGGCATTCATGGTGGATCTTTTGTGGGTAAACAATGTATGCTTCTTCAAGAACGTTAAACTGACTCGACTGAAATAACTTGACTCATTACATACAGAATTGCACATTTACTAGTTGTTACTTTACAGACAGCTGCCGGGGGGATATGTCATCTTTCTGATGACTCTTGTTCTCTAATGTGCCTTTTCCTGCAGAAGTCTAAATAACTCTTTTACATATAGTTGTATATCATTGTCATGTTTGTCAATATAACACTGAATGAAGCACTTTACAATTGTTTTTGAAATAGTCGCAACTGATATTGAAGGTCAAATTAGCTTTCAATGACTTTCAGTAAAAATGTTCACAGTAACTGAGGAACAGCTCTCTGTAGTGTGATGAAATCTGGTACATGTCACCCTCAGAGTGAGGCATTTTGTGTTTCAAACTTAAATGAAGCTGGTATGCTCGTAACAAGTACTTGTACCTTTACAAATAATCATATTATCATCTCACTAGGACCAAAGGCCCAAGTTAGCACATAGTCGATAGGTTTATACTTTCACTCAGAACAATCTGGAAGTCTGAACATGAAATTTAAGGATATCATCATACATGTATTAGAACTGATGTTTGTTCATTAAACAGCTTAACATCTAAAAAGAATTATAGATGAAATTGAAAAAAATGTCTTCTCCAAAAGTACATGCCCATAGATCTCAACTTTAAGGGGATATTTACAACTAAAATGACACAGAATATTACTACAGCTATCTGATATGCCCAGGCTAACATTATTTACAAGAAATAAGACATCTCGAAAAATTGCATCCGGATACCTGCCGGATACCTTCCAGATACCTTCAGCAATGTTCAATTTTCTTGGTTAGTTTCCAATATATATTTAGGTGTTTCACACTTAATTCAACAAAATGCACCACCCAAATTGTGACATGATTTTTGAAACTCAGAATGAGGTATCCGGTGCCGGATCCTTGGTATCCTGTGCCGGATCCTTGGACACCCAGATTGAGGTATCCGGTGAGGTATCCGGTGCCGGATACCCGGATTCCAGGTGGCATACTTTCCGGTGTGGTGTCCATGCCGGATACCACGGATCTGGTATCCGGCAAGGTATCTGCCACCGGATACCCGGACGCGTTTTGGGTAAGTGTCCGGTGGTATCCGGCAGGTATCCGGATACCGGAAACTGCATTTTTTTTGCTGTGTCACATATTGTATAAAGTGCTTTGTATTTTTGTTATCTAGATTTATGCTAACAGCTGGTATCGTGAAGGCCATTTTCCTGCTTCCTCCTTTCTTTAAATAGCGCGTATTTACTACAGGGATTTCACGAACTTCGAAGTCCCTGGAATAGTACTGGCATTGTCACCCTTCAGGTGCCAGTTGTCATTGTAAGATTTCTTTTAGTTGCAGAACGACTGTGGTCCATGTATAACCGACCAGTTTAACAACCTATGTACTTGCTCACAGTAAAACACATTGCCCGGTTTTATCCCGCATTTGCCAATTTTAACATTCAGAATAAGTAACAATAATTTCCCCATTGTGACCGGCCGATGACTATCTCTACCAAGAGAAGACAGATTATTGAAGTTACACAACTCATCCTCTGTTTGATATGAGTTCCAGTTTATCTTTAGATGTGAAGCTCTTCACAAAGAAAGGTTATTGCATATACTAAAGACATATCCCCTATGATCGATACTACCTGCTCAAGATAAATAGTTCACGTTCAAACCTGAATAATAAGACAAGAAAACCAACTCGAAATAAACTAAATGTCGACTGTTTGTATTTATTGTTTCACTGCTTACATATGCCTATGTACCACAGTTGGTAGGTTTAGTGTTTTAAAGAAATAAATAAATTTTGAATCTTGACACGTGTATAACTTATCTGAAAATGTGTTGCTACTTAGGGCGAACCTTTCTTTCTATTTCGTCCTCAACAGTGCCCAGCTCATTTATCAATCCTGTAATAAAGTCTATTTTTCCTCTTGCAACCTACAATTTTCGGAGCCCTTAGTTGACGTTATAAACCGCGAGTTTGGTTTATAATTCGGTACCCTGTACACTTCCGAACTTAATTCCTCATGCAATTTTGGTCGCGTTTTATACTGGTACTCGGACCTCAAGCAAACGGGAAAACTAAAGTGGGTGGAATGAGCTGCACATGTGAATGTAATACATAATAATATGTTGTCCTATTTCCCACATATTCCTATACACCATGTATATTTATATATAATATATACTTCTAGAATGATAATCCATCACATATATACGTGTATATTATTACCATACCTATTCTCCCCATACAATATGTGTATGCAGAGACATAACCAGTAATTCGGCTGACCACGCCTTGAACCATGACGACTTAAGACCTAGTCATTCAGGTACCTACTCCAACAACTCAAACCACCTTTCGTCCAATGGAAAGGTCATGTATTGTGTAAACTTCAAATTGAAAGATCTATATCTAGATCTAAAATTACAGATCTATATATGTATTGATCTATCTGAGGGGATAAGACCACCCTCCTATTCAGACCTAGCAACTTAACATGGGACTATCAACTTATAAACAAGAGAAAACGGCTGACCATTGTACGAGAGGAAACTCGTCCACTATATCGTACGAACTGTCACTATCTCGACTAAGTCCGTCATTATTACTCGTCATTGTTTCCTTTGCCTCAGCTTCCGTTGTGTCGGAAAGTCCTTGACCTTGCATATGCATCGTTTGCACCTGTTAGTTGATCGTAATCTGACTTGGGGTCAATATCCATACTCTCGTCCCCCGAGTCGTAACTCTGTGGTTCTACCATCCCCTCCTTTATATTGCCCCTATTCCTCCGATTAAAGGTTGTATCCATTGTTGAATATGCAGATATCAATTGCACTGTTCAACGTGTACGTTTGGACTTTGAACGACCGTCGATCAGACTGGATTCCTTTGCGGTATCTACCGGTCTTCAATTCCAGTCCTATGTCTTGTCTTGTCTACAGATGTATTTTGACCTGAGTTAAGTTATTCCCAAGTCTTGTTGACAGAAGTATGGACATGTTCTCGTCTGTAGACTGTAGTGGTGACGGGTATCTGGGTGTGTTACCAAAATTCCTTCCTTGAAACATCACCACATGCAGGTGTAGGATGTTCATTCTCAAGGATCAACTCACTCTCCGTAGTAACATAACACTTATAACACAAAGATAAATGTAAACACCAAGAGCTGGAGCTGCAGGAATAGTGCTGGACATACAGGGGAAGTTGACTACTGAAATCAACATCTTGGTATACAGACTTGTGGAAAATGTCTTGTCACTCTGAATCTTTATGCGTAGATCTAAATATGAAACAGATGAGGCGGTCTCACTGGTCTCCTCTGTTATTAGTTCAGGTGGGTAAATCGTTGGGTTGGAGCTGGATAGTTGATGGTTATTGGAACGATATTAGATCGTCGATATATTAAAGAGAACTAGGAATCGCCTGTAACAGTACACCCGTGAAGATCCGAAGTAGAATAGGTCTTCAGCAACACATGCTTGCCGTAAAAGGAGACTATACTTGTCGTAAAAGGCCACTAACAGGATCGGGTGGTCAGGCTCGCTGACTTGGTTGATAGATGTCATCGGTGCCAATTGCGTGGATTGATAATCATGATATTAATCACTAGATTGTCCTGTCAAGACACGATTATTTACGGTCCGCCGTCATATAGCTTGAATATTGCTGAGTACTGCGTTAAACAACAAACCATCAAACAAACCCGTCCACGAGACTCCACTTGTAGTATTGTTCGAGTATGTTCATGTTGCCATGATCGCGAATAGGTGAGATGATCGGCATAGATTGCTCATGTAACCGTGCTTGCGTTGGTCGGTGGTAGTATCCGATATGCTATCTCAAATAATCACAAACAGCTGGCTCGGGTGAGGCTGATGATGTTTATGTATTAATCTACGCATATAGTTACGTAGATACGTAGTAGCAATAGTAGTAGTTGTAGTAGAAGTAATGGTTGTAGTAGGGGAAGTAGTAGTAGCAACAGTAGTAGAAGTAGTGGTAGCAGTAGAAGTTGCAGTAGCAGTAGCAGTAGCATCAGCAGTAGTAGTAGCAGTAATAGCAGTCCAAGTAGTAGTAGCAGCAGTACTATTGGTATTAGTAGTAGCAGTAGCAGCTTTAGTAGTAGTAGTAGTAGTAGCAGTAGTAGTAGTAGTTGGAGACGAAGAAGTAGTAGTAGTAGTAGTATTAGCAGCAGAAGTAGTAGTAGCAGCAGTAGTAGTAGCAGAATCAGATTTAGTAGTAGTAGTAGTAATAGTAGTAGTAGAAGTAGTAGTAGTAGATGTAGTAATAGCAGTAGTAGTAGAGGCAGCACCAGCAGTAGTAGAAGTAGTACTAGTGGTAGTAGTCGCAATAGTAGTAAAATGTAGTCAGCCTGAAATACTGTTTTTTCAACATTTTTAAATATATACAAACTGTTACAAGTTCTCTTTGATTTTATAAAATCTAGATATCACTTTCATTAATAAAGTCAGAATGAATATATTGAATGTAACTATGGGAAGTATTACAATTACATGGGACATAGACCACTCATATTTACTTTCCATTCATGTGCAGGGAGGTTTGACATATGATAATTAGTTGATATATACTGATGGTTGAGTCACCTGGTGTCACCTTGACCAGCGCTAGAGGTATTCAGGTTAGATAAACAGCAGTGCTGGTAATATTCATGTGCGAAATGTAAACACGAAGGTGAATAAATCTATTTTCTGGAGAGGAAACTTTGATGCGGAAGTTGATTTGATGTAATGTTCATTGAAGCGGTTTCATCAGATGTTGACACTCCTGAGGCTGATGTGACAGTGGATGTGGCAGACGGCGACGGTTGAACATTCGACAACAAATGGGAGATTTTACACTGTTGGTCAGGCTTCAGATGGGAATAATTCGTAATGGAGTTTGTGTTCTTGTGACCTAAAGGGAGTACAGTTTACGTGGGTATTCCCGGGAAACCCTGATACATGCATCACTTGACAGTGTTGAACCACATACAGTGTTGACACAGTTTTAGATGCATGATTAATCGTACTGCATGGGACGTTGTGTGGACAGGCATTAGGTCTCATTGTGTGGCACTGTACAACAACTGCATAGGACGATGTGTGGACAGGCTATATGTCTGATGGCGTGTCACTGTACATCGGCTTTTTTTTGGAAGCTGCCAGAAAATGCACACCATCAATATACCTGAAGCTCAACTTAAATTTGTCGTCCAAATTCTGAATGATATGCAACTGCGAACGGCTTGGACGTTGTGACACAGGACGAGTATTATCGATTTGCATTGCTATGGAAATATCGACATGGACCTTCTGTTACTTGCCTCATATCAAGTGGGTTCCTTGAACCTGGTTTGAGGGACACGGTGACGTCTAGAAGTATCCTAAATAGTTGTGTGTACGTAACAAGGGAGTTGTTTGGACTGCTACTTGCATTTGACAATCGACACGACTCGACGCCAGGTAAAAACTGTTTCCTTATATGTTTTGTTCGTTGCACTGAGTGAGTCACTAAAAATGGCTGCAGTTATATCAACCATAGGGGCATGGTTATAGTTGGAACGTGTTATACGAACCATAGGGGCATAGTTATAGTTGGAGCGGGATAAATCAACCATAGGAGATTGGATATGAATCGGAATGTGTTATATCAACCATAGGGGCATTGGTAAAGTCGGAGCGTGTTGTATCACCCATAGTGATTGTGTTACAGATTGCCCCATGACTGTGTTTCAGATTGTTCCTGCCTGGGTTTCAGATTGTCCCCTAAACGTGTGTTCTACATTGTCCTCTGAGTATGTGTCATGTTGTCCTCTGACTGTGTTCCGGTTTGTCTACTGATTGTCCCCTTGGTGTTTTCCGGGTTGTCTACTGATTGTGTTTCAGATTGTCCCCTTGGTGTGTTCCGGGTTGTCTACTGATTGTGTTTCAGATTGTCCCCTTGCTGTGTTCCGGTTTGTCTACTGATTGTGTTTCAGATTGTCCCCTTGGTGTGTTCCCGGTTGTCTACTGATTGTGTTTCAGATTGTCCCCCGAGTGAGTTTCCGATTGTCTCCTGAGTGTGCTCCGGATTGATTGTCCCCTGATGATCTTACAGATTGTTAGCTTTTTTATATGTACACTAATGTCGCAGATAATGAGAAAGGCTGAATTATTGTTTCTCCTAGAAAGTAAATAGAACAAAAAATGAAAATCCCTATTCCCCATTAAAAATCTAGTTGATATCCAAATTTGAAACTTTAAGTTTCAGAGAGCTTGTATTTGAAAAGAGAGGGGATGGCAAAGAGAAGGCACTTTGAACGGATTGATGGCGGTAAGTTTAGTTGAGACATTTGTTACCAATTTAAACGATCAGCTGGGTTACAACTTGTAAGGCCCATCACCATCGTTGGAAACTAATACTGAGTTGGCGTCTTAGTGGTGATAGTTAAATAGCTCAGTTCTAGCACATTCTTGGGAATTTATGCTCAGCTGGTATCTAAGTCATGCTAGTAAAATGTTATTAGGTTAAGTACCATCGGTGGAAACTAATGCTGACTTGGCGTCTTTGTGGTGATAGTAAAAAAGCTCAGATCTAGCACATTCTTGGGAAGTAATGCTCAGCTGGTATCAAAGTCATTCTAGTAAAAACATATCAGGTTAAGCACCATAGTTGGACACTTATGATGGGTTGCAACACAGTCATCATTTGAACATAGTTGAGATCTAGCACCTTCGTTGGAAACTAATGCTCCGCCGGTATCGTTGTCATGACAGTAAACTTAGATCAGATCTAGTGCCATTTTGTAAGCTAATTCTCAACTGGAACCTCGGTCATGATAGCTTGTATCTTAACCTTGATGGTAATATTATCTCATGCCAAGCACTATATTTGCATATGAATGCACAGCTTGTTTCTTAGTCATGGTTGTAATATTAGTTCAGGCCAAGAAATATCTTTGGATATGAATGCATAGCTTGTATTTTAGTCTTGATAGTAATATCATATCAGGCCAAGCACTATCTTTGGAAATGAATGCACAGCTTGTATCTTAGTCTTCATAGTAATGTTATATCAGGCCAAGCACTATCTTTGGAGATGAATCCACAGCTTGTATCTTAGTCATGGTTGTAACATTAGTTCAGGCCGAGCACTATATTTGCATATGAATCCTCAGCTTGTATCTTAGTCGTGATAGTAATATTATCTCAGGTCAAGCAATATCTTTGGGGATGAATGCGCATCTTGGATCTTAGTCTTGATAGTAATATTATCTCAGGCCAAGCACTAACTTTGGAGATGAATGCACAGCTTGTATCTTAGTCATGGTTGTAACATTAGTTCAGGCCAAGCACTATCTTTGGATATGAATGCACAGCTTGTATCTTAGTCTTGATAGTAATATTAACTCAGGCCAAGAAATATCTTTGGAGATGAATGCACAGCTTGTTTTTTAGTCTCGATGGTAATATTATCTCAGGCCAAGAAATATCTTTGGAGATGAATGCACAGCTTGTATTTTAGTCTCGATGGTAATATTATCTCAGGCCGAGCACTATCTTTGTAGATGAATGCACATCTTGTATCTTAGTCTTGATAGTAATATTATCTCAGGCCAAGCATCATCGATGAAAACTCAAGCTTAGTTGGCTTCTTAGTGATGATAATTAATTTATTTCACGTCAATGAAATTATCGTTGGAATATATTGCTTATGATAATAACATTAGCTCAGGTCAAGCTACATCGTTGGAAACTAATGATCAATTTGTATGTTAGTCATAATAGTAAATGAGCTCAGATGTAGAACCACCCTTGGAAACTGAAACTCTTGATCAGTCTACAATCATCAATGGAACCTGATGATCTGATGGTATATCCGTCATGATAGTAAACGTAGCTCAGGTCTACAATCATCAATGGAACCTGATGCTCTGATGGTATATCCGTCATGATAGTAAACCTAGCTCAGGTCTACAATCATCAATGGAACCTGACGCTCTGATGGTATATCTGTCATGATAGTAAACCTAGCTCAGGTCTACAATCATTAATGGAACCTGACGCTCTGATGGTATATCCGTCATGATAGTAAACCTAGCTCAGGTCTACAATCATCAATGGAACCTGACGCTCTGATGGTATATCCGTCATGATAGTAAACCTAGCTCAGGTCTACAATCATCAATGGAACCTGACGCTCTTATGGTATATCCGTCATGATAGTAAACGTAGCTCAGGTCTACAATCATCAATGGAACCAGATTTCAGCTGAGGCGGTACATTAAGCTCGGGTCTGTCATCACCTTTGCCAATAATGTTAAGTGGGTAACCTCTTACCGACCTCAAGCCCTCTCAGGTACAATCTTGATCCTCACTTCTATTGTGAGAATAGAGTGGATATGGACATAAAACACCTTCATCCAATGTGTGGATGCATTGAACATTGGGTCGTCGAGAATGCACATGTATGAGTTGTATTCAAAGAATATGCACAATATTTCAATAACACTAAGTACGGAACTGTTTTTCGTGTTTCAGGTGCATCAGGAAAAGGTGAGGATCACAGACTCCAACTTGAATGCGTTGATGCCAGGTCAAAATGATCATACAATATCCCATTCATTTAGAAATTAAAATGAATGAAGCGTTGTGATATTTCCAAATAGTTCTCAGAAGCGCAGGGGAAGTCAACGTGTACATGGATGCTTGCATAAATCAATAAATGCAGCCATCAGTTAGCTTTATATAATCAACAACAAAACACCAATATTTTAGTGTATTTTTCAAACAAGTAAAGTTTGGTTTTCAATATTGTAGTAGATGTATGGAATCAAGTCACAAAAACGCAACTGCTACAGAAAAGCATGCATTCCATGCAAAAGTTGCCTTTTATGCAAGCCCCACGCATTTCACTATCCAAGAATGGGTATAAAAATATGTGCGTTAACGGGATTCCATATGCATTGTTTAGCATCGTGCTGACAACAACCACTCAGAAAAACAACAAAACTACACAATTATTTAACATTACGAACTCCCACGCCTGTCCGAAAATGAGCGTCTGCGAGGCAGTGATATGCTTGAAGCAGAATCGACTCAACATGAAGTTGCAAGACAACTTAACGTCCACAGAAACATCATTTGGTGTTTATGAAGTTGGCAACAGACGAATGCAGTCAGATACCATCCTCGGAGTGGTAGGCCACGCGTAACCAATAATCGACAAGACAATGGGATTCGAACAACATACCTATGAAATCGATTCCAGCCAGCAACAGTGACTGCAAGAAGCATCCCTGGCCTTCAAAGAATATCTTCACAAACTGTACCTCGCCACCTCAGATGTGCAGTGATTGTCGCCAGAAGACCCGCCAGACGTCCCATGTTGACAGGAAACCATCGTCAAGCAAGTCTACAGTGGTGCAGACAGCGTCTATGCAGTGGGGACAAGTTCTATTCATTGACGACTCTCGTCTTCTCCTCAGCCACAGCGATGGACGGATTCGAGTGTACCGACATATCGAGGTGAACGTTACGTCAATCATTGTGTCATGGAAGAAAATCGGTTCGGGGGCGGCAGCGTTATGGTATGGGGTGGGATTACAGCAAGACAGAGGACCTGTTTGATAGTGGCACAGGGGAATCTCAATCGACAACGCTACCGCGACGAGATCATCGGCCCTGTTGATCTACCGTTTTTGCGTCGTCATGGCCCAGGCATTACCTTTCAACGTGGCAACGCCCGGCCTTATATTGCTCGACTTGTTGAGGATTCTCTTCAACAAAACAACGTGAATGGCTACAGAAGTGTTGATAAGCACACTGTTTTTTTTAATTTCCTTTTCAAGATCCGTACGCCAGCAATAGATATTTTACGCGCGTGTCCTAAGGTTCATGGAAAGTATGTTCGAAATATAAAAATGTTGATAAATGTTGTTTTAAGTTTCTTTTTTCGGTTTATAAGTATGGAAAAACACTTTCCCTCGGTTTTGGTAGACAGAGCATGCCCTGGGGGTCGGGAAAAACCGTGGGGGCTTCGCCCGCTTGGGTTTTCCCTCTCCCCAGGGCATGCTCTATCTACCAAAACCTCGTAAGCGTGTTTTCTCCAATACTTATCCCACAGGACTTTGTGCGACGCCTGGTCCATTCCATGAGACGAATATATGTTGTTTGTATCGCAGCCAGAGGTGGACACACACGCTTTTCATTTGAAAAATTGACATTTTTGCATGTTCATGTTGTTTTTCTATGAAATCACGCATTTTCTGAAGTCAGTGTGGCGAATTAAACCATTTGAACACTTACAGGAGCCTTTTATCTCTTGTTGACCGAAATTGTTTCAGACTTGGTAAGAAACATAACTTTGCATTAAATATTATTCAATGTCACAGGAACTTTTGTTGTTCAGTAAATGTAGACTCAACAGATATCCCAGTATTTAGTGCTCCAAAAAGAGACTGACCCTTGAGAGGTTGTCATATTAATCAAGAACATTGATATAAATACCAAGGGAAATCACACTGTAACCGTCACGTAACAGTCCTGACACATCTTAACATAATTAAACGTTTTTCTATGTTTTAAAATAGTTTTATTTCAACCTGATGAAACTTAGTGCGTAGTAGAGCAGGAATCACACTGCGATCTATTGAGACTTATCTTGTGACCCGTGGATTTGTTCGCAACCGATGCTGAGAAAAAAAAGATACAAAAGGTTAAGACAACAAATATATCATATTAAATTAAATGATAAAAGCAACGAAAAACAATATTATAAGATAGCATATTATAAGCATAAGTGATGTCTTTGACTTGCTATTGATATAAAAGTGAATTGTGTATTTGTTATATGTGGCCATGTCGGGACAGACACAACTCCAGCCAGTTACAAAAGGTCTACAAAAATGAGGACAGCACAATGTATAAATCGCTATGTGTGCGGACAGTAGACACATGTCTTATTGAACCTTTTGAGACTGTGAAAGATCTGATATACAACTATGCCCAGGACAAACATGTTCGCGTGACATTTGTGCGACTCATGAAGAAGAGAATGAACTATAAGCATCAGGATACCTATACTGTGCAAGTTAACATGGACGTTGATGACTATGCAAATAACGTGGCTGGTAAGTCAGATTTTTGGCCCCCTGACATCAGAAGTAGAGATTATGTACCTAAACACAGAATGGGCTATGACCAGACTGACTCGTACAAATATTAGAAGTTGTGATATTATATTCAGAATGCTTAGTCTCATGTCTCTATCCACATTTGTTCAAATGACTCTGTCCTTATTAACATGAAATGTACGTGGGATCTTCCATGGTACAGATACTATTTGTAACACCTTATCACTGCCAGTTGATCTTGCCTTACAAGAGCACTGGCTATCGTCTGATAAAGTAGACTGTTAAGATCATTTCAAAACCTAAATTTAATCACATACAGAGCTTTACCCCCAAATGCGAGTTATGCACGAGGGTCAGATGGGTTAGCTATCTTATCTAATACCCACACCAAGTGGAAAGCTATTCCAATAGCAATAAGCTCGGATTATGCAATAAGTGTTAAATTGTCACAAACAGGCTACTGTGATGTATATGTAATAGCCAGTCGACTACCATCTACAAATGTGTTTCACTCTGTATATTGTAATGCCCTTGATGAACTGATGGATATATATGATAATCTGTGTGAGTTAAGAACAGTTTTTATCTTGGGTGATTTAAATGCTGATGTTTGTAAGGTCAATCAAACAGCACGGGATAAGCTACTTAGAAATGGTATAGAAAATAGACATCTATTACATGCAGTAAATATGGTACAATTCGGAGGACCAGGATATACATGCAGATAAAAAAATAACACGTCTCGAAGCCTTATAGACTATATTATTGTACCGTCATGGCTACAGAACTTCATTACACACTGTTACATTAAAGCAAGCTGTCCTTATGAAATATCTGATCACTTTCCTTGTCATATTTCTATATCACAGGAAGGGCTAACTAGCCACGATCAAAATATAAAGCGAGTTATCCCTAAGTGGGAAAAAGCAAATAAGACTAATATTTCTATGTTTCAAGCAAAAGTTGATAGATATATTAAATGTGCATATGATGGCAATCCAGATCCCCACTCCTTAGATCCACAAAATTTAGAAAACCAATGTGACATTATAAATGGAATTCTTATACATGCAGGTAACAAATGTATCCAATAAAGTGTGTTTAAGCCCTTTCTTAAACCATTTTGGAGACAAGATGGTCTTGCTAACGCACACAATCGTATGAGGGTGCCTCGAAGAGCTTGGATTCAAAATGGTAGATCGAGAGATAAAGATTCAAACGAACGTATATCTTACAAAAATGAAAAACAGTGTTTTAGACGCCTTTATCGCAAATCAAAAAAAAGGTAAAAGGAAGGAAGTCCTTACAGAAATAGAAAAATCATCTGAACTTGATATACATTCCTTTTACAAAATTGTAAGAAAGCAAAGGTCACAAACTACATATATAAAAAAAAACTTTGAGGGAGAGAGTGTCACAACACCCTCGGACATTTGTAGATTGTGGGGAAAATATTACTCATATCTAGCTCAGGCATATTGCTCAGACACTTTTGATGAACATTTTCGAAAAGAAATATCTTCTTCCCTAGAACGTATTCACGAAGAGATAGGGGCACATGATGAGGAACTTGAATGACAATTTTCCACTGTAGAAATAAAAGAAACTGTAAAAACACTGAGTAGAAACAAGTCCCCTGGGCCTGATAAAGTTACAAACGAGCATATAATTCACGGGGGTGAATCATTGATAAGATATCTGTGTGCCCTGTTTAATGCTATGTTAAGACTACAATACATTCCTTTTAATTATAGACTATGAATGGTCATTCCTATATACAAGGGTAAGAATGACAAATCGGATCCCCGAAACTATAGAGGTATAACCTTAACTTCATGCATTGGAAAGCTGTTTGAAAAACTTATTGTTAAGCGCATTGAACTAAAAATGATAAAGTCAAATCCTGATTTCCCTGACATGCTCCAGTTCGGTTTTAGGAAAGAACATGGGGCAATAATGTCCGTTTTTAACCTTATTGAAAGTATTCAATTTTACATACAGCGAGATTCTACAGTATATGCTGCTTTCTTAGACAATGAAAAGGATTTCGACAGAATACGGCAGGACGGCTTTTTTTATAAATTACACCAAATGGGTATCAGAGGAAATACATGGAAGCTATTACATCATAGCTAAACAAATAGCCATGCTTTTGTTACTTATCAGGGTGAACAGTCAGATATATACCATGTAATGCAAGGTGTCGGACAAGGAAGAGTTCTCTCTGCTTGGTTCTTCTTAGTCTTCATTAATGACCTTATAACAGCCCTTAGACAAGCAAATAGTGGTATTTGTGTATTTGGTCTAGATATTCCAACTGTTTTTCTTGCAAACGACACAACTCTTGTGAGCACATCGCCACGAGGGCTTCAAAAAGCACTTGATACAGTATATTCATATGCCTCAAAGTGGCGACTAACGTATAACCCTTCAAAAAGTAATGTTGTTGTCTTCTCTAAGACAAAACAAAAGGGGCTAGATATTAACTGCAAACTTGGTGATATAAATATAACAACCTCTGATACCTTATGTATGGTGGCATACTACTAACGCATAACCTGTCATGTAATTGTAGTATTGAAAAATGTTGCCAAAAAGCAAGAGAAAGTATTAATTCGTTAAATTCTGTGGGACTCAACAGTTCTGAGCTACATCCAGCTACCAGTATAAAAATCTGGTTAAGAATGATATTAAAAACAAGTTTTTACGGCTGCGAACTGCTCTTTGATATCAAGGGTCAAAACATTAATGTCATTGAAAATACTCAACGCTATTTCGCGCGAACTGTACAGGACTTGATAAAAGATCTCCATCAGAATCCGCTATTGCTAATCATGGGCTTTGGACAATGATCGCCTATATCGATAACTGTAAACTTCAGCTGCTTGGCCGCTTATGTAACTTAACCTGTAACATTTTTGTAAAACATCTTATTTGTGCATACATTGCAAAACCAACTAATCCTAAATCTGTATGTGGAGATTTATTATCAGTTCTTAACAAGTATAACCTACGAAACAACCTTTGTACATATATAAGCTGTGGTGTATTTCCTACAAAGAGAAACTGGAAGCAACTGGTTAATAAAACCATTCATGAATATGAAGAAAATATGTGGCGCAGAAAAGTTTCAGGTCTTCCACGCTTCATGCTAATACACACACAGCTTACTCACCATATATTATGGCAACTAGCATCGATGTACCCAGAACAGAGTTCAAGTTTAACATTTTGTGTAAGAGTTTGATCCCGAAACAAAACTTCCAGGGAGTGTTTATTGTGTAACAAGCATGCCTTTGATTATGATAATCACATCATATTACATTGTGAAACTCTACTGCAGGAAAGAAATGAACTGTTTTCAACTTTTATTGATCTGCTTGATGTTGAAACCTATGTCCAGTTGGAATAACAAGATGAAGAAGATATGCTGTCATTTTTCTTTGGTGCTGATACTCACTTCTCACAATGTATTGATATAGTTACATGGGAATCTGTTATACTGATATTTTCTGCTTATGTACTTACACTAAAGCCTTACATTGATTATGTCATCTGATCTAACCCTTTGTACTGTGTGAATGGCATGACACTGGTGCTACTGTCTTGTATTGTATATATGTACAGGTAATATGAGTTTGTGTAAATACGTTTGATTAATTATAACTTCTGGTGGAAATAAAGAATATCTCTCTCTCTCATGTCTTATTTCTCGTTAGTTCGTAATGTAATAACAAACATAATTTCAACACATTTCAGCATACATGTTGACTTTCAATTATTCAGACGTTATATCTAACAAGCGCAATCATTACAGAAGCAGAAGTCTGAAAATGGGAATTTGTACAAACAGAATCCAAATGGTTTTTACTGCCATGTGTCTCTGTAATAAATATGAACTGGAGGTTACGAATTGTATGTTTTGTGTTCCCAGGGTACCGACGTTTTAACATAGAAGTGGTTAAAAGGTGATTGTTAACCAATAAATTCTCGAAATCTCATGGTTCGTCCCATGCGTTTTCATTTTTTTTTTATTTTGCCGACTGATTATACCATTTAAACGATTTAATATTAGCCACGCTTTTCTGAACCGTAAGTAATGTCATTTAGATAACTTTGTTATTAATACATCTAGAAATATATAAGTTTCTATTTCAAAGTTGACAACTGACAGCGATGTTTCTAAAATGTCCTGATAACTGTGTTATTAAAGTGTCTGGTAATGAAAATTTCAGTTTCAAAGTTGTCCTCCATTGGAAGTGATTGAGTGTAACTGTCACTTAAAACAAATAACTGACAACAAGTTGAAATGGTAAATTAAAACAGTTACATTTGAAAGTGTTGGGGTTGGAGTATACTGGTCCATAGGCTTAGATCAGTAGTGCTACCTTGGGAATACGGGAGGCAATGAGACATTCCTATATTGTTGTGTACCTTCTATGTTGTGTGCTAATGATGAATACAACCATCTCAGATCTACCAGGTTTTATTTTCAGTTCTCTACAATGTGTATTCTATCCTGTGCTTTCTGCTGTCTATTGGTATGATAATCTCAGGTAAGCGAAGATAAAAGTATGAACTATAGGAATTTAGTATGTGCACTAAACAACTTGTTGTTTTTTTACAACCATACTGGTTCTGATGCCCTTCTGCTGGAGGTAGTCTCTTGTTGCTCTCTCAGTGTGGGCACGGGCGTTATCATGCTAAACCTCGTGGTTGTGGCGACATGCCAAAAGAGGTATGGCGTGTGGTATCAAGACTTGATCAATGTACCGAGCTGCTGTGACACCATTGCCTCTCCCTGGACTGACGTTCTGGAAGACCACAGGGCCGATCCTCTGTGCAAGACCAATTCCACCCCACACCATGATGCTCGGACCACTCCATGAGTCTCTCTTAACAACACAAGCATCCGAATAACGTTCCCCACTGCGTCGCCAGACTCTCTCCCTGCCATCTGCTGTTGAGATACAATAACGGCCCTCGTCTGAGAAGAGGACTCTCCTCCAATGCTGGTGGCGCTGATACTGGTGCTGCGTTGCCAACTGAGGACGGTCCCGGCGATGTCGTGGTGTCAGAATGGGTCCTCCGAACAGACGCCTGGAGGTGTCTGCTCGTCAATCGTCGACGCACTATGTCCGCACTAATGTGTTGATGGTGCGTCCCCATGGTCTGTCTATCAGTTTCCACAGCAATAGCAAAGCGATCTTGAAGATGTTGTCACATAAACTGACGATCCTGACGTCGGGTGGTGACCCTTGGTCTTCCACCACGTGGTCGGTCTTCCGTAGTGTTGGTGGTCAGGTACCGTTGCTGGAGCCTTAAGGTCCTTACGTGGACTTGAAATGCATTGGCTACTTGCCGGGCGGTTTGTCCAGCTTGCAGTCGTCCAAGGGCTTGGTGTCAATCTTGGCATGTTGTAGCAATTCAATAACGAATAGATGTTATCCAATCTGGGTGTATTTTAATAGGGCAAGAAATGGGGGAACCCATGAACATTTCAGTTTGCACAGAACTCACGGTTTGTCATAAGAGCCTCATGGATCAAGAGATGATGTTTGTCCTTAGGTTTGTCCTTATATGTGGAATATAAGTAAAGTGTACTTTCGCTTTTTTTACAATCTGTATACCTGTACTCTATCATTCCAGGTGTAGCGTACTTTAACGACTGTGCTAGCAGTTACATCCTAAACGTATATCTGATTGTGCAAGGTGCACTCCTCATCATCTTCCCTATCCTGATGTGCACTGCGTTATGCTGTGGCCCTCGTATGAGGGACGTATACTACTACACTGTATGTGTCACGGCAGGACTTCTGTGCACTGGCTGGTTGATCGCAGGTTTGTCTATGACGTGGTGGACTTGTAAACAATAGAGTCACGTACGTATTAAAGCGGCCTTAACAACAAGGAGGTGCTGAGGTCATATTCTGACAGAACTGCTTTCAAGTGACATTTTTGTCCAACTTAGTAGTCATAGACGGCCTTATATCACGAGAATAGAATTGGATAAACTTCGGTCATTTGCATTTTAGAAAATGCAATTGAACGTCATATCAGAAATAAATAAAACACCAATATATGAAGATGAAAAGTTATCTTAACTTTTATAACATTAATTGTTTTGACATGCTTTGTTATGCAAATATATCACAATTAGGACATTTTGAAGAACAACTTAGGAACAATTATGTCCAAGAGTATAAGGTCTAAAATTATATGGCAAATGTTTTCTGTTTTCAGGAAGTCACTGGCACGATGTAAGTGAGTGCAAGTCGACTACGTTATACAAGATTTCCCTCGGGGCCCTTGTGGCCACCTGGCTGATGAATGGTGCCTTCTTGGTTTTGGCAAAACAACCATGTCCGTCGTTACTGAACAAAATGACTATACATGTACAATTCTGACATATGTTTTATGTATTAAAACAGACACCATTGCGTTTTGTCGAGTTGTCATCGACCTTCCACGAAAGGGTCAAAATCTGGACAACCAATGTACGTGCGTGGCGCTATAACACCTTACTGAGGAGTATGGGGACTTACCTGCTACTGCTCCCTGCTTGATTCCCCTGCAGGATTTATGCCATCACTTTGGACACGAGTGATAATATGGAATGATATCCATTATACAAAAACATAACAAACTATAATCAAAGATCTAAAACACAAGTCGATATTATATACTGTCAGACTGGCACTAATTGTATACTACTTTACCACGTGGACCCGTGATTTAACACGAAACTTGGTCAGCGTGTAGGCATCCTAACCAGTGAGAAGACAGATGCGCTTTGGAAGCCGAATACATAGCGTGTGATTTCAGCACTTTCACCTGGCCATTTAAATACGATCTACGAATATCATGGATGTTTCTCTCATGGAAATTGAATAAAACTGTGAAGGAAAATTGATATTCGCAACAAAATCGCAATCATGTATTTGCACTCTATTTGCCCTTGACCTGAACACCACTGAGTACCGAGCTGGTATCATTCTCGGGAGAGATCAGCACTTTAAACCACGGAAACAGTTTACAACTATTTTTAACATTGACACAATGAGTGAATTGTTCAATGTCTCTACACCATGTCACTGGGGTATTGCTACAGACCGCGGAACACAGCAGTTCCAGTTTTCTCAGCTTTTAATACATTTGCCTGTCAGGTTTGCTGGTGTCACAAGGGTGATAGTCGTTATGCGCCAGAATCTAATCTTAGGAAATATTTCCTGATTGTTCAAAACAATATCTTAGTTTCACAAAGGTTAAGCTATACGATCTGGCATGTAGTGAGAATCGCGTGGAAAATTATTGCAGACTAGTCAACATATTGATATTGTATGTTCAATAGATGCACGTGACAGAGACCGATGATAGTGGGTTCGAATCCCAGATTTGGTCTGATAATGGCTCTTAATTTGTTAGCTACAAACCACGGTAGACGTCTATAAGTGAAGTGCTGCCCACTACTGATGGAAACAAAACTCGCTCATCCACATGTGAGTGAGTGAGTGCGGCTTTTAGCAATATTCCAGCAATATCAGGGAAAGGGACACCATAAATGGGCTTCACACATTGTACCCATGTCGGGAATTGAGCCTGGGTCTTCGGTGTGTCAAGCGAAGGCTTAAACCACTAGGTTACCCGACCACCCCTCGTCCATATATAAGCCAGGTTACGTGGGCCAATGGTATGCATATCAAGGAGCGTGGTACTGGTTGTGGAGAAATGATATAACCAAGCATGACCAATGATATTGGTTCAATGTGTAACACCTATATAGGATGTGTCTGGGTTATTACTGGGGCGGTCGGGTAGCCTTGTGGTTAAAGCGTTCGCCCGTCACGCTGAACACCCGGGTTCGATTCCCGACATGGGTACAATGGGTGAAGCCCATTTCTGGTGTCCCCCGCCGTGATATTGCTGGAATATTGCTAAAAGCGACGTAATACCAAACTCACTCACTCACTCACTGGGTTATTATGCACACGGTGTAACACTCTCACTCCCGAACTAGTTTCAGTTTAAAACACAAGGAAGCAGTTTACAATATCATGTAGTGCATCATATATTGAATGTTGGAGTGTCAGTTTTTTATATTTTCAGGCGTTGAGAAATGTGCTCTTCCCTTATTTGAAACCTGACAGAAATACACATAAACCAATTAAGGCGTTTACTTTACGTCCGTCGGACACTTTCATATCGTTTGGACAATGGTTATTTCAATTAACAATGTGACATTTAGGGGCATGCATATAAGTAAAAATCCTTATCAAATTGAGAGTGTATTCATGATAGTGTCTCAATGATTTGGCAATACATGCCATGCATTAAAACGGCCGTCCAGTCAAGTCTATTAATTAACTTTCAGTAAGCTAAAGGGTGTTAAGGCGTTCTTTTTTCATGAAATAATTCTCGAAGACGTAGTCTGTTAGCATACACAAGTATTGAAGATACAACTGGTTTAATTTCACCACAGAACAGGAAGTGGTGACATGGAATTGTTTATTTTCCGTCAGGACGTTTCACAGCTGCTTCATGGCCTTTCATGTTGATGTTTTTCCAACATGAATGAATGAATAAATGACTTTCTTTATTTCCTCAAGGAGTTACATCCAAAGATATTCTCAGAGCAAATGCATTGTGCTAGTATTTATACAGATATGTGTATTATTAACACATAAAATACACATATACACATATATACACACACACATATATATATTTTCGTCATTAACTGTATACACAAGTGAGCACTATTACAATACAACAGATTTAATTGGGGTTAATCTAATACGTTTCACAGAATATTAATGATATGTTTTCCCATGTAAACTGATTCATAATTCCAGATTGTATGTTTACTGAGCCCCAAAATAGTGCGAACATATCATTCGCTTCCAAAAGTTCACTTTGAACATAACTTTCAAAATCCAGTTTGTCAAGAAGAATGAGAAGAAAAAAAAATCGTTCATTTATAAAATATTCGCAGTGTAGAAGTACATGTCTCTCATAATCATAGGCCTTTTATGTTGATGTTCTTCCAACCTGTAAATGTCTACCAAAGACTACAATATCAGACGTAATTACAGCTAACCCTATTGACAGTATTTAAATTCCCAATTCTTCTGCTCGGGCATATGAATGGTGAACTAGATTTCCTATTTTGTATAGGTAATGGTAAATGAGAGCAGAGATGTGTATTCATGCAGCTATAGAAGGCTCGTCCTTGCTTCTAACGCATGCAGATATTACCCTTGTATTGTCAGAGCGATGTTCGCTCTCGTTGAATCACTAGACATTTAAGACTTCTCGATCCTTGACTTTTAATCTAAAATAATATGATCCAATGCTATGTAGCACTAGTTTCATCCTGCGTTCGTTTGACAAATTTGGGTTTTATCTAAAATGCTAGAACAGAAATAGAACTTGCTGCACCTTAGTGTGTTGCCGTTGCGAATCTTGATGACTACATGTATATCGGCAACAGATACATCTTCATCCTCTGTTTCTATAACGTCATGATTTTAAACACACAACGTAGCACCTGCACGCCCACAAGTCATTGATGAGGTTCCCGGTTCAGCTGAGTCAGCATGTTCCAGACCACGTGATATGGTGGTATGCTGCACCGACCTCAGCCCCACATACCCGGAACGACTGTCACAGCCTGCTTGCCCCTCACCAGTGAGCGCATCATACATCTTTACTTCGTCAACAACATCATATTGAGGAGCATCACTGACCCCTGTTAGAGCATGCATGTCGTGGGTAGGCGTGACGTACAGCTGAAAGCTGAAAGGTGAAATGATTGGTTAGCTTACTCAGGTGATCTTAAAAGTAATTGCATGCAAGAATTCTTCACTGAAGATAAATCATGTTACGAGGAAACAATAGAGATATAAGTCTCCTGACGGAAAACGAGACTGAGATTATGATGTTTGTTTCCGATATGTTTCATGTGTTGTTTCTTTAACGCCATGCTCCGCAATATCCAACTATATGGCTAAATAGAGTCTGGATCAGACCATCCAGGCAATGATTAGCATCATAAGTATCTATGCAATTTGGCTACGATGACATGCATCAACCAAGTAACGAACCTACCACCCAATCCCGTAAGTTGCCTCTTACGACAAGCATAGTCGCCTTTTACGTCAAGTGTGGTTTGCTGGTGACCTATCAAGATCTTACATTGACTTGAATGAGAGATTAAAGTCACATGTGAGTTCAGTATTTCAGTCTTACAACATCATGTCTGTGTCACTCACTCACCTGTCGTTCCTCAAGCTTTGACAATAACTGCAGCACCAAGCAACGACAACCATCACAATGAAAACCGCAGATGCTGTAGCTAGCCCTGTAGATAGTGATATCGTCAGTTCCACGTTATCACCTAACAAAGAACAAAGTTAATTTGTAAATGCAGTAGCAGGGGCTTCTTGAACAACTTGACCCAACCAGGAAGATCGTTACAATGCAAGTGGCGGCTCCTGCCGACTGTCCGATATTACCACTGTACACGAATATGACCCCTGCAATCACACGCAATTCAAAGAACCCTCGGGGGGAATATACAATATAGACTTGGGGATAGTATTAGTATTGACATTGTTATATGTCAGCCACCTACCAGATTCACAGTCGGTCCCGAAGTAGGAGTCTACACATCCAGACACACAGGAGGAGCCCAGCTGACAATATCCTCCATCACAACCACCTGGACATGCTGTACAGTTACCTCCTGGACTGTCACATGGTATGTTGCACCTCCTGCCTTGATATCCTGGGATACATCCCTCGGTACAACGTCCACCACCGTCGTCTGACTGACTACACAGGTTATATTTACAATACCCGTCACAAACAGACAAACATTTCAGATCAAAATACCCAGTGTCACACACAGTGAGGCACTGACCCGTCGTGTTGGCACAGTCTGAACAGTGTTGGTTATCCTTACATTGACCAGCTGAAAGTTAAGATATAGGTATTTGGTAACATTTTCGAGAATAGGATTTAGTAGATACTGAGTATGATGTTTATTAAGACTACGGTAAGCAACTTACAAGGATGATTATTCCTATACCAAAATATATCGATGTCTTAGATAAATATGCAGAACTGACTTAACCTAGATAATTGAATCAAGACCAGCTACACCTTAGCACATCCGTGTTCATATCAATAGTTCAGTGAGTGCCGGTTAATGTGATCAGATAGTCAGGTTCACTGATTAGGTTGATGCATGCCGTCGTATCTCTGTTGCCTAGCTCGATGCCAATAATGACAATTACTGCATTGTCTGGTCCAGATTGGAATATTGCTTAGTGCTGCGTTAAACCACAAACAAATGGTTGTTCAGTAGTGAGTAGAAATGATTGCATACAATTGAGAAATTTGATGAATGTTTCAGGACTTAGTATATGCCTAAGTATATATACTTTATTCCCGAAAAAAGATCGTGCTTAAGACAGAAATAATTTATAAATTTCAAGTCGACGTTTATGCACATATACTCGTATCGTTATCAAGCGAGTGACACATCACAATGAAAAAACAAAACAAATGCATTTGGCATTCATAGGACTATCATTAACTGTGTGAGAACGCAAGGTCGGTGATTTGGTCCCAAGCAACGCCATACCAAAATATATCAAAATACGGTACATAGTCTTATCTGCCTGGCACTCGGCATTAAGGCGACCAAACATGTACTGGTCGTTTGGGAGTCAATATATTGTGTCTGAGAGGTTAATTGATGTTAAGGGGCGGTCGGGTAGCTTAGTGGTTAACGCGTTCGCTAGTCACGCCGAAGAACCGGGTTCGATTCCCGACATGGGTACAATGCGTGAAGCCCATTTCTGGTGTCCCCCGCATTGGGATTGCTGGAATATTGCAAAAAGCTGCGTGAAACCATAGCCACTCACTCACTCATTAATGTTAAACTGGAGCATGGTTATAGAACTGGAACACATCGGGACCAGTAAGTCAGCCACGCTCAAACATGCTGCTAAACAAGTGAAATAATGTTTCACCCCATCTCCTAAGAAAATCCAGTCTTCATAAATATTACAATATATGAATACCACTTACGTATACTAACGTATGCATACTATCAAATAAAAAGAGTAGATGAACACTATTATGAACACAAGGTTTTACCTTCAGTAGCAATTACCATGCATGCCATCCACAACAGCAGCAAGACGACCATCCCGTTGACCTGAACTGCTAAAGAAGACGTAAGTGACAAAACAAACATTGCCCATTAGTATACAGGGTGAAACATCACTTGTTGGATGCAAGGACTAAGAACATGGACGTGCAATGGGTGTACAGAAAGCAAGCGCTGCAGAGTTTGTCCAGCAGAGTGTTCTACATGTGTACACTCCCCTTTCTTGGAATATACAGAAGATGCACGTTGTGTAGGAGATCAATGCTGTATTATGTGCCTGGCATCAGTCAGAAGTAGCACACACACGCACACATACACGTACGCACGCACGCACGCACGCACGCACACACACACACACACACACACACACACACACACACACACACATCTGCATGCTCGTAGCATCAACGTTCAGTCACCTCTAGTGCGACATGAAAACCCCTTTACACCTCATATATAACCAAAGCATGTACTCACATCACAGTTCGCCTGATATACATATGTGTCCCGTTGGTAGACTATACAGACCAGCTGTATGTGATCAAATGATGTTCTGTGTCACACAGGCGTCAGGTGGCTGTTGATGGATGTGTTGCACATATAGCATCCTTGTTTCACAACCACAGAGATGCATGTCTCCTGTTGACGGCTTTATTTCCCCCTTCACAAAGAAGATACAAATTAACAATTTCACCAACAAATAAGGAAATATTACCCCGTGAATACATAAAACATAAGATTAATCATTACATTAATAACCTGTTTCATAATTACTGTTACACAACCTTTCAGTTCATTTTTTTTTGTTTATGTAAAAGATCATATGTCAGATAGACACAAAAAGGTGCAAGGTTGTGACAGAGTTTTCAAATTAAACGTTGGAACAGGTCATACCATCTTTCAACTTCATCCCGCTGGTCCCCGACCTGAAACCCCTAAACCAGGTCCACCAGTGAGTGGATCAGCGTCTGTTTCATACTGGCTTAATCAGTATTTCAGTAATAGAAAAATCATTTCCATAACCACAGACAGCTCTCATAAATGCAGTGTACCTTGTACGATTGATTCTATCTCATAAACATGTGTCCCCGATTCTCGCTCCAGGTTTGTCAGCGTTCCACTGAAGTAAACGTCTAAGACACGCCCACATAGCCTTTCACGCATGTCAAGTTGACGACCCATGACGTTACTGAAATACCGTTTATTATTGCCTGAAGCTAAAACACCCTAACTCACTGGTGTTAAAGGTGTTAGAGACAGAGGTGAAGCGGGTTTTAGACGTCTACGACCCCAGTGCAACCCTGACAAACTGAAAAAAATAATCCTTGAGGAACATGTGGGATTGGAAGAAACAAAAATAGGTTCATGGTATGACCCGGGGAGGCAAAGGGATATGGCACTCCCGAGAGCTACAAATCTGCATTGAATTTTATGCCATATAATACAGGGCTACCCTTAACTTCTCCTTACAGTGAGTGAGTGAGTGAGTGAGTCAGTATGGTTTTACGCCGCTTTTAGCAATATTCTAGCAATACCACGATTGGGACACCAGAAATGGGCTTCACACATTATACCCATGTCGGGCATCGAACCCGGGTCTTCGGCGTGACGAGCGAACGCGTTTAACCACTAGGACACCCGACCGCCCCATTTCTCCCTACAACTGAGCATATCAACTTGACTGTAGATGTGAAAGGTACACCACATGTACAGGAGGAAGTTGTTAGACTCTGCGGAACTAAGGATTTGACGATACTGGTAGAAGTAAACCAATATTTATGTCATCGAATGATTTGAATACATTGAACCATGGGTTTATACGCTGTACAACTATACTTCCTGGAATAGTTGTGTGTTTTTCTTGATACGTTTTACCCGCTCTACCGCTGATCACCAAGGCAGTAATCCTGACGAGATGTGCGTATGAAGTAAACATGTATCAAACACCCAACCCCAATGCGCCCCCACTATGCAATGATTCCTGATAAGACGTGATCTCCAAATAAGCTGTTCTCGTTGTGAGACGTGACTTAGGGGATCGGTTGTTTATCACACAATAAATTCAACATCATGACGTGATTACCCAATAAGCTGTGCTCGTTGTGAGACGTTACTAAGGGGATCGGTTGTTTATCACACAATTAATTCAACGTCCTGCTCAATCTGAATGATGTTTGTCCAATGAAGGATCAGTTCAACAACGCCATTAGCAGGAGCATAACGCTCTGCCGACAAAAAGGATAAACTTACTTAATACAAGAAGTGTTGCTCCCGGCTGCTCCTCAGAAGATATGATAGAGAAAGTGTGCAATGTCATATTTTGTAATTTGTATTTAGTGAGTTGAAGGGAAAAGCTTATAGCATGGCTTCTTCCCTGTTCTGACTGCTGTAAGTATAGCATCGCCTCAAGCCACACGTGTCAGTAAACTGTAGTGATGATTGTTCTGACTGCCGTAAGTATAGGATCGCCTCAAGCCACATGTGTCAGTAAACTGTAGTGATGATTGTTCTGACTGCCGTAAGTATAGGATCGCCTCAAGCCACATGTGTCAGTATACTGTAGTTATGATTGTTCTGACTGCCGTAAGTATAGGATCGCCTCAAGCCACACGTGTCAGTAAACTGTAGTGATGATTGTTCTGACTGCCGTAAGTATAGGATCGCCTCAAGCCGCATGTGTCATGGTACTGTAGTGATGATTGTTCTGTCTGCTGTAAGTATAGCATCGCCCCAAGCTTCAAATCTGGACTCGATATAAACATTTATGACAGTTTAACGCTGCAGGTACTCCATATAGCAGCTACCCTGGTATTGACCTGTCACGCTATTTACTCAAATCACGAGCAAGGATCAAGGTATCAAGGTACAATCAGCAATCAGTCACAGAGCATGACCATCCGATCTGCAGGTAATATGTCCCTATGGCATCCATGATGTGATTGTAATCTATTCTAAATACAAAATGGCATATTGAACACTACCTTTCAGTTAAGATATGTATTTTATAAAAATTGGTCTCAATCAACACGTCCACTGTTGAAGTACTTAATCAAAATTTATAACAAAAGGGCAACGAAAATGCTGGATATTCATGCATTTTGATATTTACAAATATTACAATACTTACAAACATCATACCATATTTTTCTATATGTAGTCTCATCAAACTTAAGTGAGAGCTGGATGTATTGGCTCGTTCACGACAGTTGACCACAGATATATCAAGCCACAGTTTAACACGGTCATCTCACTGAAGCACGGTCACCTAACTCGGAGCCCTGTCTCAATGCCGATGACAAGGCAGGGACACGACATGAACCATGTGTAAACGTATCTTGACACGTATGACACGATGGACACGTATGACACGTATGACACGTATGGCACGAATGACACGTATGACACGTATGGCACGCATGACACGAATGACACGTATGACACTTATAACACGTATGGCACGAATGACACGTATGAGACGTATGACACGTAAGACGCATATGTCACGTTTGACACGTATGACACGTAAGACACGTATGACACGTGTGATACGTAAGACACGTATGGCACGTGTGACACGTATGACACGTAAGGCACGTATGACACGTATAACACGTATGACACGTATGACACGTATGACACGTATGGCACGTAAGACACGTATGACACGTATAACACGTATGACACGTAAGGCACGTATGACACGTATGACACGTATGACACGTGTGACACGTAAGGCACGTATGACACGTATAACACGTATGACACGTATAACACATATGATACGTATGACACGTGTGACACGTGTGACACGTATGGCATGAATGACACGGCCTGGGGACTGACCACCAACCTTCTGCTCTCCGGACAGATGCTCAATCAATTTGACCTCATAGGTGGCAGATCAAACTAAGAACTACGCAATGAACAAACAGTTTACAAACGATATTTAAGAAATACTTGATTTCTAAGCATGGGATATTTTGGAATAGATATTGCCGATAACACCAGCACGATCCCGTTTGCCTCCATCTGCAACGTCATACACATCATCCTCCACACCACCAGCTTCACCTGCACCTCCACAGCTCCCATCAGGTGACTCACGATCCATGGCCATATCTTTCAGTGGGATGTCAGTATACCATTCTAGTTCATAGACAGGGGCATCGCCCACCTCGGCATCAGAGTCGCGCACAACGTCCTCTGACTGTGGGATGTCAGTATACCATTCTAGTTCATAGACAGGGGCATCGCCCATCTCGGCAACAGAGTCGCGCACAACATGCTCTTCCTGGGTGACACTGTGAAATAAAACATAAAATTGATGTCATAACTTATGGATCCACATTTAAGCAAATAAACCGTGCAACAATATTTGCAACAATATTTGCAACAATATTTGCAACAATATTTGCAACAATATTTGCAACAGTATTTGCAACAATATTTGCAACAATATTTGCAACAGTATTTGCAACACTATTTGCAACACTATTTGCAACAATATTTGCAACAATATTTGCTACAATATTTGCAACAATATTCAAGGTTTTACAAACATTATTGTTGAATACTCGTTTCTCAGAGTGTACAGCTACACAACGACATATCACTTCAATTATCACTAAAAGGAACCCTCCAATCAACGTGCACTAAACATTTCAGGATTGAAACAAGCTTCCTTATCACAATGCACTGCTCTGATTGTTGTGTACTATTACAACTGGGGTCGCCTTGTAGCTTAATTACTTCCGTCCTCCTGGCTTTGTGGATAACAATGTAATTGTTCGAATTATTCTATTAATTTCAATATAGAGCTATGTCCAACTAACTCTTGTTGAGTTAATTTCATTTATTTACTAACAGAACAGTTTGGTACGTCAGAGCTACAGTTTATTTATTATAATAAAATGGCGATAATGTGTTGCACGGTAGAGGATGCCTAACAATTCGCATGCAACTTCATCCAGTCATTCAAATATTTCATCACGTGTCCCCTTTATCAAATGTATATATTAGCGTTACTACTGAAGGCTTAACATAACCAGTAATATGCCCCTACTATTTTGTGTAGTTTTACAAAATTACTTTATTTTATAGAACAGTTCGATGATGACAACAACAATCGCCAAGGCGTACATTTGACTGCTATGTTTCAGCTGCCTCAATCACAGCAGCCTGTACTACTAGAACATGGGCCTTGGAACCATTCGGCTCAGATATGACCAACATCTCACGACGTGGGGGCATGATGAGACAGTCATCCACGTCACACTGACTGACTACCTCATTGATCTCCATCAGCTCTTGCGTCCATAATGGTATGAGGTCAAATTGTGACCCCAAATCTGGGAATATTATGTCTCCCTCACTCACCTGATTCGCCTCAAGTGTTTACTACACTTGCAGCACACTGCCAGGAAGATCAACACGATGAAACTGACAGCTGTTGTGGCCAGTCCTACAGCTAGTCCCACTGTACCACCTGACACATGATAACGGTAACGTAGAGGGATAACGTAGTTCATATCATCAACATACATCTAGAGACAGCTGCACATACAGAGTTATTAACGTGTATATTGTATTAAACAACATAAGTGCCTGTGACACCAATATTTTAGTGTATTTTGGTTTTCACTATTGTAGTACATGTATGGAATCAAGTCACAAAAACGCAACTGCTACAGAAAAGCATGCATTCCATGCAAAATTTGACTTTTATGCAAGCTCCGTGTATTTCACTACTCAAGAATGGATATTAAAACACGTGCGTTAACGGGATTCCAGATGCATTGTTTACCATGGAGCTGACAACAACCACTTACGCAATTATTCAACATTACGAAATGCCACGCCTATCCGAAAATTAGCGTCTGCGAGCCATTGGTATGCTTGAAGCAGGATCGCAGGCCATGCGTAATCAATAATCAACAAGACAACTGGATTCGAACAACACACCTACGAAATCGATTCCAGCCAGCACGATGAGTGCAAGGAGCATCCCTGGCCTTCGACAAATATTTCTACAAACCGTATACGTCGCTGCCTCAGATGTGCAGTGGATGTCGCTAGAATGTTCGCTAGACGTCCCATTGTGACAGGAAACCACCGTCAAGCATGTCTACAGTGGTGCAGACAGCGTCTACGCTGGACGGCCATACAGTGGGGACAAGTTCTATTCACTGACGAGTCTCGTTTTCACCTCAGCCACAGCGATGGATGGATTCGAGTGTACCGACGTCGAGGTGAACGTTACGTTAATCATTGTGTCATGGAAGAAGATCGGTTCGGGGGCGGCAGTGTTATGGTATTGGGTGGGGTTACAGCAAGACAAGAGGACCCGTTTGTTAGTGGTTGAGGGAAATATCAATGGACAGGACTACTGTCGCGACATCATCGGCCCTGTTGTTCTACCGTTTTTGCGTCGTCATTGCCCAGGCATTACCTTTCAATATGACAACGCCCGGCCTCATATTGCTCGCTTGACTTGTTCAGGATTCAACAAAACAACGTAAATGCCATCCCCTGGCCGGCTCGCTCCCCTGATCTCTCACCAATCGAGCACATGTGGGATGAGATGGATCGGCGCCTTCGATGTCAACCACGTGCTCTACAGACACTCCAGGAACGTCGAAACATGCTCCAGCAGATATGGGCAGATATCTCACAAGACATTTGTGCGTCGCCTGGTGCAGTCGATGAGACGAAGATGTGTTGCTTGCATCGCAACCAGAGGTGGACACACACGCTATTGGTTTGTAAATTGACATTTTGCCATGTTCATGTTTTTTTTTATGAAATCACGCTTTTTCTGAAGTCAATATGGCAAATTGAACCATTTGAACACTTACAGAAGTCTTTTATCTGTTGCAAACCGAAATTGTTTCAGATTTGGTAAAAAAAACATAACTTTGCATTAAATCTTATTCAATGTCACAGGAACTTTTGTTGTACTGATATTAATGACGGTATGTGATTTGTCTGTATGTGACAAAGGTGGCGTGCTTGCGTGCGTGCGTCAGGGTAGGTGCGGGGAGTCCCATTATTACGCCCGCTAATGGATCAGTGAGGTCTCAGAAGTCATTTGCAGCTCCCTCGGGTGTATACACTATTGACTTGAAGAGAGTAATAATACTGACCTGGTCAATACCTACCCGATTCACAATCTGTCCCGAAGTAGGAGTCTACACATCCAGATACACAGAAGGAGCCCAGCTGACAATATCCTCCATTACAACCACCTGGACATGCTGTACAGTTACCTCCTGGACTGTCACATGGTATGTTGCATCTCCTGCCTTGATATCCTGGGACACATCCCTCGGTACAACGTCCACCACCGTCGTCTGACTGACTACACAGGTTATATTTACAATATCCGTCACAAACTGACAAACATTTCAGATCAAAATACCCAGAGTCACACACAGTGCGGCAATGTCCTGTCGTGTTGTCACAGTCTGAACAGTGTTGGTTATCCATACAGGGGCCAGCTGAAAGTAAAGATGCAGGTATTAATTAATGTATTTTTGAACATGATGTTATGGATAATAAGCATGATGATTAACAGGATGAAAACATGCCTAACTGCAGTAAGTAGATTATGCGACTGATTATTCATTAGCGATACTATTCTGCTGACTTTGATTTTGAGAAAAAAATATAATAAATATGGAAATGTAATTATTATTTACAAATGGCTATATATTTGAAGTAATACTATTCTTTACAACCAACATGTTAATATTGATAGTTTAGTGAGTGTAAACTAGTGAATGAAAACTTAGATATCAAATTATATATCATGAAGTAGCGAACAATGTTGAGACAGGAATTAAAGATTAATATTATAAAAGAGAGGGATTGTAGAAGATTTGAGATTACCATTGTGATGCCCTTCAGCTGTTACGCTCATTGCGCAGAAACCTTGTAATAACAGGCTTAGAAACACCAACAGTAACCTGATGGTTTGCTGCACAATATCTTCTCTACTTCATGACAATGTCTGAAACTATGTTGACGAGTTGGGATGTATAAATAAACAGCATTCATGCCATTTAGGACGAATTGACGTTTTCTGATTTAAATCTCTATTGCATTTCATGGGTACGATTTCGCAGCAAACGGAGTATAGTAACTTTATTAGGTAGGTGATATGTTAGGTTGAAATAATATTTGACATTCACAAAAACGTCAGCTGAAGGTCGTTCATGCAATTGCCTAACCGCGTCATACCAAAATACATAAAGGGGGCACATGTTGTTACATTCCTCTCGGCCTTAAGTCGATAAAACAAGGACTGGTCAGCTTGTATTCGGTATGCAGTGTCGGAGTGGGGTATCAATGTGATATTGTGGCATGGTATCTCAGCGAACTAGGATTACAAAACGAAGTCTGGGCTAGTGCATACACAAGTATACACGTTGCTATTTAAATGAAATTGTCTTGAACACGACGATAAACACAATTAAACCTCATCACGTTAGACAAGCCTGTCTTCAATAATATAATATACTGATGTAAGGGTAGTACCAATAATAAAGACTGGATTTGCAAATACAATGTTTTACCTTCAGCAGCAATGACCAAGCATGTCATCCACATCAGCAGCGAGGCGACCATTATGATGACTGAATCTGATGTGAAAGAACAATGATGTGATCAAGAACACATCAATTTACATACATAACAAAACAACACGTGTTTGATGCCGAAACGTAAACGCTAAATGGGTATGCAGACATCAAAGAGTTGCAGAGTTAGGCCAGAAGAGGGTGGCACTTTGTGTACTCACTAGTCTGAGAATATACGTAGGGTGGCCACTGCAAGGAGCCGAGTGCCTTATTAATACTCATCAGTATCACATTGTTTAGTAACACTAGTTGTTGAAAGATGGTACCTGATGTTTCCAATGGCATAAAGGGGATAACACAAGGTCTGCATTAAACCTCATTTAACAATACATACAACACAGACATACTTACAGTACAACATATAAGTACAGCACAGCATATACTTACAGTACAGCATATACTCACAGTACAACATATACTTACAGTACAACATATACTACCAGTACCAGCATATACTTACAGTACTGGCATAGACTTACAGTACAACATATACTTACATCACAGCATATACTAACAACACAGCATATACTTACAGCCCAGCCTATACTTACAGCACATCATATACTTACAGCCCAAACTTCTATACGGACAGTCCCTGTTGATACAACATGCAGGCCCGCTGAGTGAGACACAATAGTCATGTGTATCACATGTGTCTGAGGGGGCTGGTGACTAATGTGCTACACAGGAAACACAATTTCTGCTCCAACACATAGATCAATGGCTCCTGTTGGTGTTACTGTCCTCCTTATCAGGAAGATGAAAATCAACACTGGCACGTGCAGGAAAAGGAAATAATTCCATGCAAATGTTGGATTCTAGACTCTGGTCACAGACATACAATCGTCAACAATCACCAGGAAGTTGAGAATATAACAGGATGGGCATTGATCATGTCATATTGCGTTGAGTCTAGTGGGATACAATAGCCCAATTATCGTCCGTTCCACACTCGTACCAGAGGGTCTGGCGATCTATGTTCTGTTACACAACTAGTACATTTCTTTCCTTATCACATTTTACATCCTATTGAAAGTAATACTTACCTCCTAGCCAGGCGGCGGATATACACCACTGTCACGTGAAGATCAGGACATATTTCCATGCATTTGTGTCTAAACACTTTATTATGAACATGATGTATATTATATTAATGGTCTGTTTCACAATCATTTACCACACACAAAATATTCAGGAAGATAATATATTGTTTTGCTTGTAATATTTCATGTTGTTTCTTTGTTAAGATTCCTTCCCTTTACCACCATGAACATTTCTAATTTAACTCGTCAATCGAGACTAATCATTTTGCAAAGAGCAGTTTTATTGTTACTAGACAGACTTCCTTTGTTTCCGACAATGGTCTCGTGGGTAAGAGAATATGTTTCGTGAAGTTGATTTTGTATATACTGATATGAAAATGTATGATACAGAATTTTAGTGACATCACATTTTTGGTACACACCTCCTCATCTCTACACCCGCACGTCCCCCATCTCTATACCTGCACCTCCCCATCTCTACACCCGCATCCCCCCACACCTCATCTCCACACCCGCACCCCCTCATCTCTACACCCACACGTCCCCATCTCTATACATGCACCTCCCCCTCTCCACACCAGCCCTTCCAATCTCTACACCCGCATCCACCCACACCTCCTCATCTCCACACCCGCACCGCCCAATCTCTACACCCGCTGCTCCCCATCTCGAAATTAACAAGATTGTGGAAGGTGTGAGGATTATGCCCTCTTACTATAGAATACTAAACGAGCTCCCGTGTAATACCAATTTTAGGAGACGACTGTAATACCTAGTTTAGGTCACGAGTTTCATAAAATTGGCCATTAATAACGTTTTTAGAATTATATTGTAAAGTGTGAATAGGCTGACACCTACACGATCCATAATTCAATTGAGTTTAATAGAATAATACTTCAAACAAGTCAGAAGTTGAAGCGTATGAATTTAATACCATACAACGGTCCACCTTTAAGCGACATTCACACTTGCGTTAGCAGCTGTAGTTATCCTTAGATATATTAACGTGGCCAAAATAACACTAACGTGTCGAAATCTGTAAAAAAAAGCTTGACTACATCGAACAAGGTTTCTATATCAAAGTGTTACCAGGGAAATGTTCGTCAAAATACCAACAAGTACGTTGTACTAGAGTCAACAACAATGAAGTACGAAAAGGGTGCTACACATCATCTACGTTTTCCTACGTTAAGCTAATTTAGACGACAGTAAAGTACATTAGCTAGTACATTCAGGTACGCTGAACTACATTTAAAAGCGTTACATTACGTTAAACTAAGGTAAACAACGCCCAGTTCGCACCAAAGAACAGGTTATATAAAGAGACATGTGGCTTTCATAATTCTTTCACTTTTGAATTCCTCACAAAACACATACATATTTCATTCCTTTCGTCATTTTAGTCTTAGTTAGGGTTAGCTTAACTAAACTCTAGCTATGAGGAAAACAAGAAACAGGAGGGGTCAAACCCCAGCTGCTAACATTGCTGACGTCACTGAAGTTCCTTATAATCCTATGTTTCTTGGGTTGCTGAGTATCCGATCTATGAAGACTTTCAGGATATTGATAAAGTTGATGCCACTCCCCCAGATCCAGAAAGCTCTCAGAGTTGCAATGTCCAGGAAGCGGCAGCTGGCGCAAGTACAGGCACAAGCGAGGAATCAAGCAAAGGCACATGTACAGCAACAACAGTGCCCAACCTCATCCACATCTGCTATCTCAGAAGCAAGCACACCATCAGCAGCCAAACATTGCTGTTTCACAGCAGCAACAGTGCCCAACCTCATCCACATCTGCTATCTCAGAAGCAAGCACACCATCAGCAGCCAAACATTGCTGTTTCACAGCAGCAACAGTGCCCAACGGGATGGATGCCACCCTGGTAGCATGTTGATCAACCGCAGCAGCCGCAGCAGGGACAGTCAGAGCAGTCTTCAAGTGCACCTCCAGCACACTCTCTACAGGACTTCCTTCAATTCTAGAATGGAGGTTTTGAGGAATATATTGACCTTTGTTCCTGTTTGGCAACCACTGTCACAACTGCCTGGAGGATCAAAGACTGTTGATGCTTCCCTGTATTTTTATTTTGTATGTTTGTTTGTATTTTAAACATAAAGACGAAATAAAAATACAAATGTGATGCTGTTGATATGATATGATATGAAAACAGCCAAAATATTAACTAAAAGACTTTGTGCTAACAAACCAAAACAACTTGCTTGTTCCTATTAAAAGGCCATTCGAAACAAATTCTGTAAATGAGGTCCTATTTTCAAATATAGATATAATCTAAATTGAAAATAGATGTTAGAAGACCCTCACTCAATTATAGGTAAAGCTTAAATATAGTTAAAGCTGCTTCACTGTATTGAATCAGTCAAATCTTACCCTTTAAAGGTTTTCCATCGTTTTGATAGAGACATCTTTGTTTAGTATTCACGCAAAATCTGATATCATTTTGTCCAATAATAAGGGGTGAAAAGGAGGGTCAGAACTATTGGGTCGTACTCTACATCTTGGCTGCAAAGATTTAATAGCACGTGCAACAATGGAATGGTTTCATTAGCCAACTCTGCATGGCAAAGGCATCATCTGCAATGATGTAATAAGGTTTATCAACATCATCAACTGTAAAGGCTCTGCATCTGGTATACCCAATATTCCCTGTTGTATTGTTTGGTGGAGGGCACAGTGGTTCCATATTTGGCTATCGGAGCTGGACCCAACATCACCAACCTGAATCCATCGGAATTTGAACCCCTTGTAGTTATAATAGGAATAGCCTGAATTCGATTTTTCTTTTATGGCGATATGCTTGCCATCAAAAGCACCCAAGACAGGTGGAAACTGCCATCTTCCTTGAACTCGCTCTGCCGCTTGTAACCAATTTTAGGGTTCAAAGGAGTCTTCATAACCTCGGCTTCCATGACATCCAAAAAAGCCTTAAACACGGAAACATTAATCCCTGAGATGGTGCTGTGAGCAAGTCTTAAATTATACATCAGTGAGGGGTATGAGTCTCCAGTAGCCAAGAACCTTAATGTCACAGCCAGCTTGAGTCCAGGAGACACAGGGTCACGCCATCGGGTCCTATTCTTGATGAGCCGGTCCTCTACCCTTGCTAACAGTTCATGGAATGTGGCCATGTCCAAGCGCAGAAAGTTCAGGAAAGCTTCAAGATCCTCAAGTAATTCTTCCATCAGGGCGTCATACTGACCATGGATTGATCTGCGCAGAAGCCAGTCACGAGCCCACCATCTTCTCTGTTTTCTCTGCCTCTCTTCATCCTCGTCAAATTGCATAAGACACTGGGCATAACATAGCAGCTCTTTGTTGACAACAGCACAGAACCAAATCATGTTTACTCTTCTATCACTCATGTTGTGTCTGCAGAGTTCAGACAACAAATGATCAGACTGATGTCATCATGGGTTATAAATATCACGTGTATCAACCCATACTTGACACCTAGTTATCTGTAGTTTATCTTAGTTTAACTTATTTAAACGTATTTTAACTTACTTTAACTTACATGTGCTAAGAGCACACCTAGCAAGACGTGATATATCATTTTCAAAACGCAGATTACTGTACAAATACTTAGGTCACTGAAATGAAACGTTCTTTGATGTCAATAAAGTAAATGTAGTGTAGTGTAGTATAACGGGGTCATGTGAAGTTAAACAAAGTTAGACGGACTTGTGCCCGTACTAAGATATAGTTTACCGTAGTTGTTTGCAGATATGCCTTAAAAACTACGATGTTCGTTACGTTTGGCTACAGTATGCCATGGTTATAACTACGGCAAACTACATCTAACTACATTAAACTAAGTTATTACTACGTTAACAAAAATGTCAGC